CCCAGAAGAAGGATGGTACTACAAGACTTATATGGATGCGGGCGAGGTCGGGTTAGGCCCCACGGCAATGTCGCTTGTGCCCCTCAACGATTGCCCTCGAAATGCTTATTATATAGACGGAGTTTTTGCCACTCCCGATGGAAAGCCCATTCTTCAACCTAATATGATATGTTTGTTTGAACGCTATGCAGGCGATATTAGCTGGCGACATTCTGAGGTTCTTTTCAGCAATGCTGATGTACGTCCTTTTTATATCATACTAGAATATAAGGAACGAAGGGTGTTAAGTCCATGTTTAAGTATAATTCAGATTTTGGTTTGAAAAAAACTGGTAGCTACCAAATCAAATATCGAATGGATAGGTTTAGTTTGGTTTGAATTTTGATATGGGCTTGGTTTTTGATGAATTAATGCCTTTTCTTAAAAGTATAGGTTTCAATTTGGTTTATTTCCTTTCTTATCAATTTAATAGAAAAAGTAAAACCATTATAGTCTCATATTAAGGCTCAATTCGGTTGTCCATTCCGGTTTTCGGTTTGCCTCGAATTGAATGGGATCGGTTTATCCGGAACATAGCTAGTCTCATGATATTTGCTTTTGCCTTGAATGAAAGCCGTTATGAAATTTATGACTTAACAGATAAGAGAGTCAAGGCCAAAAGTTACATTGGTCGCTCGAATGGTAACTTCGGTTGGAAACTACGACTATATCTTTGATTGGGAGTTTCAAACTGATGGTTTGATCCGCATCACGGTATGTGGAAATATTTTTTGGCAATATGATTAAATTGTTTTTCATGTTTCCTTATAGTTTAAATACTATTGGTAGGTCGCGGCTTCGGGGATGTTAATGGTGAAAGGGACACCTTATGAGAATGTAGATGACTTAGGTGATAAAGAGGATGATGCTGGACCGTTGATCTCTGAGAATGTGATCGGAGTCGTCCACGATCATTTCATAACGTTTCATCTAGATATGGACATTGATGGACCGACGAATAATTCTTTGGTTAAGTTTCACTTAGAGAAACAGAGAGTTCCAACAGGAAAATCGCCGAGGAAGAGTTACTTGAAGGTCAAGAAATATGTAGCCAAGACTGAAAAAGATGCCCAGATCAAATTGAGCCTCTATGACCCATATGAATTCCACATTGTGAATCCGAACCGACGGTCTCGGGTAGGAAATCCGGCTGGGTATAGGATCATACCGGGAGGTAATGCAGCGAGTTTGCTTGATCACGACGATCCTCCTCAAATCCGAGGCGCATTCACCAATAATCAGGTATCTAACTTTTTATATGTGATTATGATTTGCTGAAATCTTGGTTAGGACTTATTGTTTCCAAATGTTTGGTTTAACCAGTTGATTTTTTTGGTTTAGATATGGGTGACTCAGTATAACCGGTCAGAACAATATGCCGGAGGAGTTCTAATGTATCAGAGCCACGGTGAAGACACACTACAAGTTTGGTCAGACCGGTACTAACCCGATAATGCACTACATACCAATTGACTCATACCATTTCTGGTTAAACGTTTTTGGTTTGAAATACTCATTGTTTTGTGGTGAAAACAGGGACCGTTCGATTGAAAACAAGGACATTGTGCTGTGGTATACGCTAGGGTTTCATCACGTACCTTGTCAAGAAGATTATCCGGTTATGCCAACTGTCGCGGCTAGTTTTGAGCTTAAACCGGCCAATTTCTTTGAATCCAATCCGATTCTTGGAGTCACGCCTTTCTTCGACAAGGACTTACCAGTTTGTAGACCAGTTGCTTCATCTTGATCGGCTCTGTCTCATACAGAATTAGATCAGAATTAGACCAGTCACACGCTTGTTGAAGTTTGTTTTACCGTTTTTTTGAAGTAATGCCAAATCGTCCAATAAATAATTGTTAGAGAAATTCTACTGAAATAAAAATACGGGCTAATAACGAACACATGAGAAGAATGATTTTCATATTTTGGGAAAATTACTAAAACAATTTAAAAAAATGGCATAATTACTAAAACAATTCTTAAACAATTCATAAAAGACATATAAAACTTAATAAAAAGGTTTTATTACGAAAATGTTATTCTAATTATTTAAGAAAAAAAATTTAGAAATTTGTTTGAAACCGCGACCGCGGAGGATGCGGAAGCACCGGAGACGCGTTCGGCGGAGGTGTGCCACCGGATTTAGATAAAATCGGATTGAAAATCACAAGCAAAACAAAAAAAGAACTTGAGATTTTTTGATTTTTAGTTAGAAAAGAAATATATGATGTTAGATCTACTAGTTTTAGGCTAAATCCAGTTGAAAACAAGTTAAAATACAGTAAAAACGAGCTAAAAAGTAGTTGGCCGCCATTGTTAGAGTTTGACATAAACTTGGTTGTGTGGAGAAGATAACCCGTAAATTACGATTTTACTCTTTATTGAATAACTCTACCACTACTATAAATAATTCTACTACATATTTATAAATCTACCACTACTACAAATAAGTCTACATATTATAAATTTACCACTACCACGACTATAAATAAGTCTACTACATATTATAAATCTACTACTACTATAAATAAATCTACCACTACTATAAATAAGTCTACCAACTAAAAGTTGTTTAGTAAAGAAGTAAAAAGATTTAATAAATCTACCACTACAATAAATAAATCTACCATAACTCTACCACTAGTATAAATAAGTCTACGATTGCGTGAACCGTCAATAAGTCTTCCGATCACAAAATAACTCTACCACAACTACTAATAAGTCTATCAATCAAAAATAAATTTACCACTACTGTAAATAAGTCAACGTTGCGCGAACCATCAATAAGTTTACCGATCACAAAATTAACTCTACCACCACTAGAAATAAATCTACTGATCACAAAATTAACTCTACCACTACTACAAATAAGTCTACCACATTTTATAAATCTACCACCACTATAAATAAGTCTACCATTGCGCGAACCACCAATAAGTCTACCGATCACAAAATTAACTTTACCACTACTACTAATAAGTCTATCACTGAAAAATAAATCTATCACTACTATAAATAAATCTACGACTGCACAAACCATCAATAAATCTACCGATCACAAAATTAATTCTACCACTACTGCTAATAAGTCTATCACTCCAAAATAAATCTACCACTTCTATAAATAAGTCTACGATTGCCCAATCATCAATAAATCTACCGGTCACAAAATTAACTATACCACTAGTAGAAATAAGTCTACCGATCACAAAAGTAACTCTACCACTACTACAAATGAGTCTACCACACATTATAAATCTATCACTACTACGATAAATAAGTCTACGATTGCAAACCATCATTAAGTCTACCAACCACTTAATAAATCTACCAGTCGCAAATAAATCTACCATCATATGAACGGTAGACTTATTCGCTTTTGGCGGAAAAATTTTGCTGCCTCATTAATGACAGTTTCGTAAATACCTTTTTTGTCTTCAAAGAAAATAAAGTTAAAACAAATATAACAAATCTCTCAAATTTGTTTGAGTAATATTCAAATATGAGAATCATTTTGGTCAAAATTCAATTTTTTAATGTTGTTTTAGTAAAGCTCCCTATTTTTTTAGGGTATCATCTTTCAAATGTAAAGGTTCCTAAGTTCCAAGATTACTTATACTCCAGTTTTATTTTTTCTTCGATTTCATAATTTGATTTATTCATTTACACTAGCTACTAAATATTTAAAACCTTAAAAAGTTTAAATTAAATACTTTACTGCCTCAAAATAAAGAAAATACTAAACTAGATAACGGACACGTTTATCTACACATCCTCGTGGCCGACAAAAAAAAAAAAATCTACACATCCAAAAATGAATAATTTAGCTGATACAAAAGCAATTAAAAAAATGATTATCGTGGTTGGTCTAATTATGTGCTTTAATTCACAAAACACTCTGTTCAATAACCGATCAAATTTTTATGTTTATTATTTTTCAGATTCATTCAATCGTTTGACTCTCATGAGCTCCATCTTGTCAAGCGTTCGTCATGCTCCCGAAGATCCCACTATTAGTGTACAAAATCTTTTTCTTAGTTACGTTGCTTCAATCCATTTCGCCACTACATATAGAATTGTGTTTTATTTACGTTTTATGGTTATAAAAACAGGTATATTCTGCTTGTAGAGATGATCCTAGTCCGGTTAAATTGATTTTGACCACCGGTGCCTATCGAACTGAGGTAGTTTGGTTTTTCTGTCTAATTTTCAGGGATCTTCAAAGACTCTTGATTGAGTTAATTAGCTCAAGTTTTGATTAGTC